TGCTCCTCCTCAAGATACTCGAGATCCTCAGACTATGGAAGGAGCTTACCTGCTGCTGAAGCTGAACCTGGAACTCTCAAGACTTCTTTAGCTGCTACTCCACGTAAGTATCATCAATTCTAATAACAGCTTTAAAATAAATCTGATTACAGATTTGGATTCTTTGTTTCATGGTTTTTCTGCTGATAAACCCACTTGCCATCTATGATCTGAAGAAATTCTTACACATGACAAGCTCACTGAGAAAGCTGTGACCACCACATGTAAAGAGTTCTGGGATACGATCATTTACCAAGTTACAGGGCTAAACCCACTTTGATTTATTTAGCATAAATGAATGGATAAGACGCTATTGGGTCACCTGTTCACTTGAACACAATTTATAGTTAAACTTCTTCGGAGTACAGATGACAGGTGGAGTAGCAGTATTTTGATAAGGTTGCTTTTGCCCATTTGAAAATAAAAATCTGTAGAAATTGGAAAACACATACATTTCATGACATAATCCACAATAAAGTAACCAACAGAAAAAAAAATCATTTCTATTCCTCTTTATCCAGGTTTAGACAAAATGACAGAGAAATCAGCCCCAGATGAGAACCATAAAACACCCACATTGAAAGAGATAGCTGAAACTGGTGTAGCTCAAAGTGTACAGCCAGCAAATGAAATACAAGATCCTATTGAAGATACCAGTAAAGCTGAAAGTGATATCAAGCCAAAATCAGATCAATCACCAACCAATGTAAGTATCAGATGATGTTTTGCATACTTGAATGACCATGACTCTTGGCTGTCAGGCTGTCTTGGTAGTTCTAGGTAGATACTGGTCTGTCACTGATGGTCCATATTTATTAAAAACTCAAGGAAAAGTAAGGTCATCTTTGTCAGCACCCAATAACAGGCTTTACGCTGTCATCAAGCATAAGCTTAAAGGCTTTAGCTTAAAAGGAGCCTATATTCAATAAGATTTACCATTGAATACCAAAATGTTTGGAGAAAGTTGAAAAAATCACCAATCTTCATCTATTCTGTGATAACATTCTAATCACTTCTGTCAATATTTTGATAGCCTCCTGCTAGCCCAACAGACAGTGTTGCCAGTAGTACAATAGGTCCCTCAGACAGTGTTGCCAGATTACCTATAAAGAGAGGTGCTTCCACAGCTGGTAACTGGGTTGCTTCACCAGAATGGGTAAGAAAGCTTTTTTCTTTTAGTAACCTTGTGATCAAGTTGTCAAAATGATCGGAAGATATCTTTTTCCAATACTTGAAAAACCGATTGAACTTAATTTCAGCTAACTGTGTCACTGTTCAGAATCAAAATCACACGTGCAAAGCCTGTACAATTCAACATAAAGGGGCAAGCAAGTTTAGAATTATGCCACTTTGAGGGTATCAGTATTCTCATGTGCAGTTATTGTTAATACTATTATACCTGCATGAGAAACTATCAGCTGATAAAGTAAGTATTTGATTGTAGACAAACCTGACATTAGGAATCTAGGTTTAGAGAGGACTACTACTGTATATTGATGATGTTATATTGTAGGTTCAATCATGGAAACAGAAATTACCATTACAAACTATTATGAGAATGTTACAAGTTTTAGTACCTCAAGTAGAAAAGATCTGTATTGATAAGTAGGTCCCTTTAGAATTTCCTTTATAGATACACATTTCATTTCATTTCATTTCATTTCATTTCATTTCATTTCATTTCATTTCATTTCATTTCATTTCATTTCATTTCATTTCATTTCAATTCAATTTCAATTTCAATTTCATTTCATTTCATTTCATTTCAAATTTGAACATAATCTAAGACATACTTGAACACAATTTTATTTAGTGTCAGGGTGTATTTGGAGAAGTCTCAATCAAAGCACTTGCCTGGGTCACAGGGTGTTTCATAAAATTGTGAACAAATGTGTTTCAGTAACCAATGGGGTAAATTAAAACTGGTTACACTATAGTCAAAGGTCATCTCATTTGTGTTTCACCAGGTGCATATTTAAGACAGGATTTACTTCATCAATTGTTTTTGCTATTGTAGAGGGTTAACAGATGAAAGTGAGATATTAAAATTCTTACAACATGGTACTCTAGTTGGTTTGTTACCAGTACCACATCCAATATTGATCAGGAAGTACCAAGCTAACAGTGGCACTACCATGTGGTTTAGAACATATTTATGGGGAGTCATCTATCTCAGGTTTGTTATTTTTATAGTAATCTGTTTGAGATATATGCCAAGGCTAATCGTGGAGCATCATCCACGGAAAGTTTGAGATAAACTTTCAAGCAATTCTTGAAAATATTGGTTACAAACATTTTAGTTAAAACAAACTTTTGTGAAATTTTAAAAAGATTTTTCTATAACCGTTCGTCTTGAGATCTTCGAGATGAACCTTCAAGAAATTCTCGGAAGTTCAAATCAGAACCATTCTTTTGTGATTTTATGAGAGTAAAATTTCTGAAGGTTTTGGTTAGAACCTTCTTTCTGAGATCTTGGAGGTAAACTTTCATGCAATTCTTTTCTATTGATATTTTTTGAAAGAAAGCTTGAAGCAACTGTCGATAGTTTAGATCCATACCTTGTTTTTGAAGCTTTTATCACAGGGAGTATATCTAGAGGTTTCGCTGGCCAAATGTCATCTATTGGTATCTACATTGCTTATCGCCATACTACTAATGGACCCAAACTGTTATTTAAATGAATTTGGGTGTGGCACCAGGCTTGGTATGCTTACTATTCAAGACAACTGATACCACTTTTCATTGTGACATACTTATTGATTTCGGGTTTCGTTTCGCTGTTCGGATCGTTAGAACTTGGTTTATTTATATAAACCAAAATGGTCGTTTTAATGAAAGCTTTTTGTAATTTTGATGCTTATCCAAAATAGATTAGGTTTGTAGAAGCTTTCCTTTTGCCAACTCTCCTAGAAATGGTATCTAAATTTCCTAATGACAAGTTCTTACTTGCTGCCAATT